GGCACAAACAACCGTCCCCCCACTCGTAGGCGGAGGGAGGCTACCCTCTCATTCACCGGGCTGAACCCCAACGTACAGGCACCGAGATAGGGGGCAATAAATATGCACACTCCTGCTTGGCGCCTCTCAGCATGGGCAACTCCAGAGTGGAAGAGTGTCCAATTRCTCTCGAGGAGACTGGTTCCAGAGCCAGYCAGAACTGAAAAGGTGAAATTTTATAATCTGAGATTTATTTTGTGAAATAAATCAAATTAACATGTTTTGTATAGCCCATAGATGGATCCTAACTTGTTCTAGTACCCCCATATTAGGTCACCTTTAAACATATTGCAATGGTTGACAGAATGTGGGAAAAGTTGCTGTTTTATGGTACTAATTAAATGAATTTAAATTTAAAGGATTTCAACAATATTGGTCCTCTGTAACTATTCACAACTTGTTTCGAAGTGTATTCCTTATACAGTATGTAAATTTGTACTTTATAAATTAACCAGGGCAGAAGTTGTTGTCGTATGATCAGGTTTTATTTTCTACTAAATTGGTCATCAGTGTTCCCACACAATGACAAAATTTGTGCTCTGCATTTGACCCATTGCATGTGAGAAACACCCAAGTGGAACAGCAGGCAGATATGGAGGCGCCCAACGACCAGTTCAAGGACTTGCTCAAGGACACCCTTCCATGTGGGCATGGCAGGGAGTCGAGCCTCTGACTTTCAGGTCCCAAGCCTGCTGCTCTACCACTACACCACAGCCACCACTATGTCTTGTTACCTTTTTAAATTGTTCTGTGAATCTGAAGGTTGGAAGGGGAATCTACACATCTATCAAGAAGAAGAAAAGCATTGCTTTGAARCTACAAGCTAATTAAAGACTGATTTACACATAAGCAAAAGGATTTAACAAAGCGAGGAATAATAAAAGGGCACATTGCATGACTATTTAAATATATTCAAAGACTAATATATATTTTTGCAAATTTAGAAAACCCTTTTTTTCATATAATGCATTATTTGATTTCTGAACTAACATTGAATCAGTCTATCAACAAAGTTTTTCATGGATCAAGCCTGTTCCCAACCCCCAAGATTTAACCAAATCTGATTCAAAAAATATAGAGACGTTAATACAATACCTTCGAACATAGTAAAAAAGAAAGAAAGAAAGAAAGAAAGAAAGAAAGAAAGAAAGAAAGAAAGAAAGAAAGAAAGAAAG